AAGGCAGGTATAGCACATAAGTGTTAAAAGGAAGATCTGAGTTTCCAGATTAAGAAGTAGAAACATAACTTGAACTTGCTACTCTATAACTATCCAAAATGTTACAAAATGAAATTTGGTGCAACAGTGAAAGCATACAAGATATTACAGCACTTCTACAGCTGTATTCCATTCGTCTGGTATAAGCAACAAATACAGGTGCGTATTGGATTACAAAGCTTTCTAATATACAGAGATGAATTAGATAAAAGAAATTGATCTGGGCCTAACCAGCAACCTTTTTCCTTTAAAAACATATGATCAAGGCCAACAGTTACATAGCGGAAAGCGGCAGTGGGATGGAGAGGGGTGACATTGGAGTGTGGCATCCACTATATAGTTAGGAACCCTGAATGCTGTCAACGCACTCACAGCTCGCACATACTCCAAGGAGAATTGAGCGAGGGGAGCAGATGGCTAGCAAAATGGCTCTGATAATCTTGTGCGCACTGGTAATGACATTTCACAAGTGACAAGTCTGGAGAACAAGCAGGGAGCAGCTGTGAGCAGCATGGCTGCACAGAATCAGGCCTGAGAGCCCATTGGAAGTCCTTCAATAGATTAGACATGGGAGAATAGCTTGCAGATAGGTCACAGCCTACCCAAACTGTGCAAGAGCGAGTTGACATTGGAATGTTAAGTGGCAGACTGGCTGCTGGAAGCACCTGATGTGCCTACAACCCAGACAAGACTTTCTGTGCAAGAAATCACCTTGCTGTACCTCACAGTGCTTTTTCCATATTTCATGCTTCACTGGCTTTATTTGTAAGTATTGTCGTTTGGTGAGTGAACAAGCCAAGTGTTAATGTCACTGCTGAATATGATAATTTTGTCTGCTACAATGCCTTCAATGCCTTTCCTTCCAAGAATACATGACCCTGCTCTTTTCTGCCTGAATTCATTTCTCTCCATAGCTATTTTAATGGTTGGGGAATTCCATCTGGAATCGGAGATACCCAGCATCTTATCTAAAAGATGTGTTTTATTAGTCATCTGGTGCTGTGCATTATGTAGAGAGTCAGTGCAGGACTGGGATTCAGGCGATCTGGGTTCCAGTCCCCATTCAGTCATGCATCCAATTGGGTGACTTTGAGCCAGTCACTGTTGGGAGAAAATTCCCACCAATTCAGGTGAAGAAGAATTAGCAGTTGAGTTCTTTAAAAAGAAAAGATAAAAATCTAATAAATAAGTAAATTTAACAGCTATAGTATGGAAGCTATACAATCTCTGAGATGTCCTGAATATTCCTGGTCAAACCAGATATGTTTCAATTAATACAATGTATAATTTCAGAACCTCTCTCTTTGTCTGACCTTCCCTGAATTTGTTTCCCATAATGCATCAACAACTGGAGTTCATGTTTAAATGATTACATGCTTTCTGAACCCATTCAGCTTGTAATTTCATCTGTTCAACTGTGTACTTTATGGTTTATTTTTTTAGTTATGATACTAGAGTTCCAGCTGGGGTCATGGTTTGGGGTGTGTTAGCAAAGCATTCCATGGATATATTTTCAAATTGGTAAGTGGCTTTCAAAGCATCCGTCTCTTTTTTCCTCTACAAAAAGGTCAAACCACTTTTAATGTTTTATTTTTAGCTCCTAAGTTTCAATCTAGCCTAATGTTTAGTGGCACAAATATGTGTTACGAAGACTGATGAGGCAACCCCACCAAATTAACTATGTTATGTGGCAGACCCACAACTGAGTCTCCTAACTCCTTTTTCGAAAATGCACTCTTGGGTGAAAAGCCAATGATTTGGATGAGTGCCCCACATTCATAAACAGTTATTAGCTACAGGAATTACACAAGTATTAAAGACTGCCTTGCTAAACAAGACAGATGCATGTAGTTCATGCTCTATTTTCACTAATACTGAAGTTCACAATAAAGCCCGACAATGATAACCATCTTTGGTGGTCATCCCCAGCATCTGGTGATGAGAAATATACTACCTCTAAACATAGTACTGGCTATTTACTGCATCCATCCTAACTTAGTCTGCATGAGAACAATATGAGCAGGGTGGCATAGCCTTTTTATATCTACAATGGTCCATGTGATGTCCATTCAAAAACAGTCTACACAGCTATACATAAGCAGGCTGAACTAGACTTTATTAGGATGAAGATCTCTGGGAGTAGCTAAGACTTATTTTATTTATGTATGTATTCATTTAAAGCTTTTATATCCTGCCTTTCACAATGACTTCTTGTGATTGCACAGATATTTCTGACATGCTTGTATCCAAGTCCACAGAAAGACAGGTGTGAGCAGTCAGGCATTTTTAGTTCCAGCTCTAAACAGGTTGGAATAACCTTTTCTAAAACACACAGCCATTAATGGAATATGGGAAGCTTGAACTGTGTGGTCATCGTGCCTCATGTGACATCTGTGACATCATACATTTGCCACTAGAACTGCTGTACCCATGTACTGCTATACCCACTGCTGTACCCAGGAAAATGGCAGAATAACCAAACACAGGTATAACAGCTTTCAGGGTTGTGGGAAATTATGCCTGGGCTTTCTCCGTGACCAGACATCTGCAAGGTACTTTGTGCATACATGCATATGTTTCCTGCAATCAAGCAAATGGTTGTGCTTGATTGGAGCCAGACGCATGTTTTTTGGTGACAAGTTACTTGCCATTTGCTTTTCAAATATCCCTGCATTCATTCTCCTTCCCGTGCTGTTCTAAATACCATGCTAGATGGAATACTCTGACATTTTGTATGTCACATAATTCCTCCAAACATCTCTTGCAACACTGCAATATGGACTTTTAGAAACCCTTTATCTTCATAAAAGAGGACAGTTGTACAACATTAAGTGGATCAAATGTTTGGGATTCAAAGATTTGCCTAGATTCATTAAATGACTTTGTACAAATGACTTTTTGGCTTTCTTTCTTCTCACTGGCTGACAAAGCACAGTACTTACGAAACTCCTCTATGTCCATCCAGTTTCAGCTGACTTCATGTTAACTTCATGTTGAGTAGACAAGTTTTGCAATCATGGAGACACTGAGTTAGATCGAAAGGCTCCCTTCTTTCAATGGAAAGAACACTCCACTCCGCCAATGGGAGATTTACATCCAATGCAAAGAGCAGCTTTCCAGGAGCAATTTTCAGAAGGTCACAGCTGGAAGAGGAAAGGATTAAATGTCCCCTTCCCACCTGTTGTGATAAAGCAATTAACAGTCCACACCATCCCTGCCAGTCCACAAGAAGATGCTATCTGTAGTTTCAAATTTATTTATGCTAATTGCAGAGACATGTTTAAAGTTATGTCTAGTTTAGCCCTGGAAGAATCTTATTCATTACTGATTGCAATAACAAGGGGTTCAAAGGTGTGGAAATGCTTGACAAGATATTCACTACACAGGGCACCGAAGCAATTAAGATTTTGTCCTTCTGGTAATGCCTCTCCTGTATTCAGTCAATCCAACAACAGTAAGAACAAGAACAACAACACTATGTTGTAGAATTGTAAAAGTGGTTTTGTTGCTTCTGTTGTTTACTATAGTTTATTTTTCTCTTTTGTTCCCTATGTTGAGAATTGTTGTAGCAAAAGGCAGTTTGCATGAGCTCCTTATTTCAGGGCAAGAGATAGAATTGGAAAATTAGGGGGTTGGCTTTCTCGTATCAAAAGCAGCAGCAAAACAGTCAACAGAGATGTTAATGCCTTCTTTCTCCAGAGACTGGAGATGTTTCCAGATTGTTTTTTATTGCTGCATTGCCCAGACTCATTCATGGCATTATGGACATGTGTGCAGAAGATGCTGCCTTCCTTGCAGAACCCCCTGTGATTTCTCACTGTTTCTCTCACCTTAAAGAAGAAAAGACAGAAGTGTTGCACAATGCTTTGAATTAGTCAGCCCCTCTTCTGGAACCTCATCAACTCATTATTGCTGTTCCCCTGTATATATTCAGCACAGTCACAACTGTATGACTTGCTTCTGGCCCCACAGTTCACACGCATGTGCACACACACATGCTTACAGAGGGGGGTTGTGTTTGTCTTCAACGGTAGACACAGCTTGGCAGCAGCCCAGGACTCACACCCAGTAATAGCTGATGAAGCATCTTTATCTAAAGAAGGGGGCTCTGGCTTCTGACTCAATAGGCTTGTAGCCCTGCAGCATTTACCTGGGAGTCGGCCCTATTGAACTCAGTGGGATACGTGTAGGCTTACACCGCATTTCTCAGGCAGATGCAACGTGTGTGCGTGTGCACACGCATGAATGCAGAATGAGTCAGGATGCCCTCTTGAAGCACTCCAACCAGATCTAATATGCCTTTTTGTTCCTGGGCAAGGCGCTCAGCTGACACATCTGGGACAGTCGATAGCTTTGTGAACCCTGAAACGAGCACACGCAAACACCCTCCTGGCTTCCTTTGCATTGCAGGTTGGTCAGTTGGCAATGCCAAGGAAGCCTCAACAAACGTCAACCCCTCTGCAATTTCTCTTCCTGAGAATTCGGTAGTTCAGGGCGCATGGAGAATGCTAGGCGCTGCAGACCCTTTTTCTGCCGGTAGGATTGCGCCCTTAACTAAGCGCCACGTAATTTGCTCGGAGACTTGAGGGCGCAATCCGACGCGCGTAAAAACAGAGGGGAAACAACCCGTCGCCTCAGTCAGCATTCCCGGCCAGTCATGAGGAATGTTGGGAGTTGCAGGACCGCCCCGCTCCCCGTCCTAACGCGCGCACGATTGCGCCCGGCACTCGTCGGCGCTTCTTGCGCGCGGCCAAAGGCGGCGTGCCCGCGCGCGCGCGCGCGTGCGGAAGAAGAGCGGGACCGCTCGCGCGCCCCTCCTGGCGACCCGCGGCGTTGCCGCTGCCGAGCAGCGCCAGGAGAGGCGCGCGCGCGGGAGCGAGCGCGGGGCGACCTCCGGTGCTCCTCTTGTTGTTCGCGGACTTTTCGCCTGCTCCCGGGAGCCAGGAGCAGCAACCGGCCGGAGGCCCCCGCGCGCCAGCTGCAGCGCGGCGCTGGGAGCGCGCCTCTGCCGGGGGAAGGGAGCCCAGGCGCTGTCTTCCCCGGCCGCCCCGCATCCCTCCCCAACCTGCCCCCGCCGCAGCCTGAGACGCACCGAGGCTTTTCTTTCTCTCCTTCCTTCCTCCCTCCTTCCTCCCTTCTTCTTCTCTCTCTGTCTCCCTTTCCCAAAATGGATGTATCCTTGAGACTTCTCGTTCTGTCCTGGCTTTACCTGGAGGCGTCTGGGGACTTTGACGGAAGGCAAGTAATGCTTTGGTCAGTGGGCTGGGACAGGCAGGGAAGAAGGACCGCGAGCAAGAGCCGCGAAGCGGGCGCCTCTTCGCCGGGCAACTTGGAGAAGGAGTTCTCCTAAGCCGCGCTTGCCACGGGGCGCGGGGGGCGAGTCACCTGGCCGGGGCACAGTCACCTGCAGAGTTTGGGTCTGCGTCTCCTCCGTTCTGAGCGAAGCGTAGCTCGAGTAAGTCGGGAGCTGGCTGCAGGGCTCGGAACAGTCCTCAGCCGCTGGGGAAAGGGGGAAAGGCAGGTCCGGACCGAGCGTGAGAGGCACGAATCGGGCATTTTGCGTGCGCACACGCACCCTCGAGGGAGCAGGGCAGCGGAGGCACCTGTAATCCTGCAGAGCAGCTGCAGAGGGCATTGGACCATAATAAGCAGACATCCGTGGTGTGTGGAGGTGTGTACATTAGAGCTCCCCTTTCCCACTCTTAGCAGTAAAGTGTGAAAAGAAAACGCTTGGAGACAGCACAGGGTCTGTGTCGCTTAACATGTTTATTATGGTATGCATTTTCACGGACTACACTTGGTTCTTGATGATGCCATAATCCATTTCCTAGCCATCGAGGGGCACAGGACGCTCTTGCTTTTGCTAGCGCAGGCTCTTATGTGTTCCTTCTGGAAAAGCAAGACAGGTTAACCACCAACTGTCTTGCAAAGTAGGGCAGTTTTATTTTCTTCATGTTGCAGAGTTGGGAGGAAGGGTGCTGAGGCTGTCAGAGGGTGGTTTGTAGAAAAGGCTGTCCAGTGAATGCATCACATAGGGAAGAGTCCAACAAGGGACTTCCTGGTTTGTAGCTCCACTGTAGCCCCTGCTCCACACTACCTCTCTTGCAGAGGTAGGGATGCATTTTAGGCATGAAATCCTCATCCACTGGGAGTGTTTATTCTGGAAGCCTTCCAGCTGGAGGCTAGGCATGCTTATTTCAAAGTAACTCCCATTTTGTTCAAAGGAACTTGTGCATAGGACCAAAGCCCTCAGCTGGACGACTATTCTTTCAGATAGAAATGTGCTTCACACTCAGTCGAATCACTGCTGTATCAAGAATAGGAAGCATGTGGTCCTCCAGATGTTGCTGGACTGGCACGCCTGTCATTCCTTGCAACTGGCTGACAGGGGATCTCCAGGGTCTTGACGGTAAAACAAGAGATGTGAAAGAAGAACCTATGGGGGAGAGTGAAGCAAAAGCCTGATATGCCTGGGGAAAGCCTTCTGTTTTTGTCCAGTGCATTTCAGAAATTAAAGTTTCCTTCATAGGGGGTCACTTTTCCTCTATTAGATGAACTGAAAAGACACCTGTCATCTTTTTCTTTTGCACCTGAGACTTTCTTTCCAGTCTCTCCCATTGGTTCTTCCCCAGGGTTCAGACACAGGGTTCCTGAGTTACCTGGGTATACTCAGGAACTGAAACTGAGACCTTCCACATGCAAACCGTGTGCTTAGCTCCGGGGACCACTGTCCTTCCCCTAGTTTACTATGTGGTCCTGCTGCTAAGTCCCTTTTATTTCTGTTTTGGTACTTTTCACAAAAGGAAGCGTGAATGTCAGAGCTTCAGCACCTAACTTTTTAACTCCACACTCTAGCCACTTCGTAGCATTTTGTGTGACTGTGGTACTTGGAAAGGGTACAATTCTTTGGTGAGCAATCTTGGATAAACTGTGTAACAAACAATAAGCAAACAGGGAATGCTTATAAAACTTGCATCATATAGCCAGTATTTTTTCCAAAGATACTTGGTGTATCTACAAGATGCATGAGGAAAATGGAAGAAAAGCTGCAGGAAAGCTGTAAAACATGAGGCTGGATTATAATTCCTCCATGCATACTTCAGCTATGCAGAGATATGAGATAGGCAGGCTTTGACAGGTCTGGGCAACCCGGGGTTCTTTTGAACTTTCTTACTCAGTCACTACTCCCACACAGAGTACTTGATAATCACTTGTGGGATTTGGTGTATGAATCATGACTATTTGACCCCATGTTTCTATTTGAGGTGTGTGAGGAATGGCTGCAGAATAGTTCCCCTTTTGGATGCTGCAGTGGAAGTGGTGGCGACACGCGAATTAGACCTGGAGATGGAATGTATTCTCTGTTATCCCCCAAGCCCAGAAAGGGATGCACACCTGGAAATCTTGCCTCATTTATTAGCTGGGACTGGCGATAGTCTGCAGACCGACTTACTCTCTGTTTCTTAAGCAATTTAGGAAGATACCTGGGGATGGTAAGGTCTAAGAATAACTTCCTTGTAAATAATCTGGCAGCAGTTGCTGTAATGAGCTAATGCAACTTTCATAATATCTAAATGTGTATTTGCAACTGCAGAAAATCCACTTGGGGTTCAATGTATGGGGCGCTGCCTTTTATTTTTAGAATATACCTTTAAAGTGGTTTTTGAAGCAACACCTTCTCCAGATGATTATATAGTAACATTTGGAAACAATACAATGTAGAATAATGGCTAAAACCATCAACACAGAACTTTGAAAATAACAATAACATGCAAAATAGGATCCAGCATCTGTTTATTTAAAAGCAGACTGTAATATTAGGGTGCTGCAGGCATGTTTAAAAACTGTTGGGGAGGAATCTAGATGCATGCACACACGCGCGCACACACACACACACACACACACACTCTGTGGTAGGATATTTCACAGGGAAGGCCCAGCATGGAAAAGTGCCCGTCTCTCAATCCTGCCAATTTGATGGCCAGTGGAGGTGGTTTTTCAGATAATCTGCCCCCAAGCTGCTGCAGAGCTTCCAAGGTAGCTGCAGCAGTGGGCCAGGCAGCCTAACTCTTTACTGACGTTCCAAGGCCTCGTATTCTGAAGAGAACACGGAAGGGGTGATGGAAGGGTAGAGCTCAAAGAGGAGCCAAGGCCTCCCTGCGGTTCCCCAGGCCATCCGTGCAGGCATGTTTGGACGAGGCGGGAGGGGACACACAATGGGAGCAAGATCCTTTGCCTTGCTGGCCCCTGGCCCTGTGAAGAGGCATCGGAAAGACGAGCTACCCAGTTAGAGCACTTGCATGGTTCTCACCAGCTGGCTGTCCACCACTGGGAGCCACCATCAGGGTGGGGCCCAGAGCGGGAATGAAGGAGAAGGGCTGGGGAGAGAGCCCCAGTTTGGGCTCAGCACTCACTCTTTACATGGGCAGAGGCTTGTCGCTCAGCTTGCTAGAGGGCTTTTAGAGTTGCCTTACCTTGTTAGCAGTGAAATACCTACAAAGATCTGCACTGTGGTGCTCTCTCTGGTGTTATGGATCCCAGGGCAGGAAGGGAAGGGCCTGGCTCCCACCAGAACAGCTATCTGCTCCGGCCACCTGGCCTCAGGAAGGAACAAGGTGGTTACACTTTGCCCCAGTGGGAGCTTCCAGCCTTCTGAAAAGGCAGCCCCACACAGAGCATGCTATAATTGCCCCATGTAACCGGAGTAGGTCATTCAAGAGTAGGAACAACTGAATGGAATCACACATTATAGGTCCACTGTCTTCAGTTAGGGATTTAGCAGCAATTCAGGTGGGGCTGATCAAAGGGCCTCTTGCTGTAGCTGAAATATCCTGCCCTGTCTTTTACTAGGTGGCTAGCAATAGAAATTAAAATAAATAGATAAAAAACACACAGCAGCAGAATAGATGGTATGCAAGAAATCAGCCACAGAAAAGGTTAGGTTCAGGAATATACAGCCAGCCAAAGCTTGGTAGAAGATGTATCGTATGAAGTCCTTGCCATCTGCTTAAAGGCCACAAGAGAGGACAACAAGAAAGGCCACCAAGGATAGGAATTCTGTAAATATGGAGCCTATGCATCTGATGATTCTGCCAAACTTCCCATGTGAGAATTTACCACCTGGAGTACCTTAGTTGTCTGCACCTTTTCAAGGGCTAGCAAGGATTTCTCTACATGTCAGTTGACTGGAACCACTCTGAGGGAGCAATTTCCTCCTGCTGCTTCTTTGTAAAGGAATACCAAGCTGCGCACACAGCACTTCCATCACTAATCATGGTAGGTACACGTGGGAATCTGCTCTGGGAAGTTGCCCTGCTTCAAGCTTTGTCACATATAAAGACAGTTTTTGTGTGAGACCAGCTGTACCAGCATGTAGGTACACCATACCGAAATCTTCCTCCGGAGTGAAGTCAGCACCTGGAACACATTCTAAACATGTTTTGCGTATGCATCTGATTTATGCCTGCAGTTCTCTGTGATGCACATGCAAAAACCTGCTTTTGTGCATGTTTCCTTATGGGGATTGAAAATTATGGCTATGTACACACTGACTGATTGTCTGTTTTGTAAATATATTCAAATATAGTGTCAGCATTCATGTAGTAGCAATACATTCTGTCTCCACCCCCACCCCGTTACTTTCCGAATAATCCCTATTGTTTTAAGATCACATGGATCTATTTTTTAAATCCCATTTCATATATAAATCCTATCCTATGAGCTAAATAAGCCAGAAACTGATGACTTGAGCATGGAGTCCATGTGGAATAGTACCCTGAGATGATTGCAACTCAAGTTTAAACATGAATCTAGATAAATGAAATGGAACAGTGAGGGCTCAAGATTTATGATGTGTGTGTAATTTCTACAGTTACAGTATGTCAAAATGTGATGGAAAACTTTGATGCAAATTATGGGGATGATCATGCAGAAAAGGCTAGATTGGATCACCTATGAAAGGGCAATCTTTCTTGATCTGTTCATCAGTTGACACTCGCCCCAAGTGGGCAGATGGTATAATTTGCTCAAATAAAGGATGCTTTATTGCTATTTTATTAGGTTCACAACAACAGTGGGGTCTACACCATTTGTTTGGCCTTGGTCACCAGCCTAAAATTTGTGCTCTCCAAAACTCTACCTTTTCCCCAGGTGTGGTATCTTTATCCTGAACTTGCACTGAAAGCACAGGGGAATGACTGGAATGTACCTCGATCATACTGTACATCCAACATGCTAAAAGAGCTGCAAAGCTACAGCACAATTAGTAAAATCTTCAGCTTTTTCCCAGTGCTTGAAAATGAGAATTCGCCCTTGTATTGCACTGAGCCTCTGACTGTAGTGAAATAAGAAAGGTGCATCAGTACACATTTTATTGATGAGAGTAGAATTTCTTCAGGAGTATGAAAGATGCAGTCATGATTCATAGCCATAGAATAGAGCTCTGTTTGTGGTGGGCCATATTTTGGTCCCAGTATTTGGGATTTTTTCCCCAAGTCTAAGATGGTAGTAGGATTCTTGCCTATTACATTGTGGGTAGCCACAATCTAGCCCACAGAGACATGGCTAGTCATAATGAGATGAGGGTGATCCAACTGGTAAGAGCTTTTAAACATTATGATGAAGTTATTCCGTGTGATTATCTGTACCATGTGTAGCAGCATCTCCACTTGCTTTGCACATTTCACAATTCCAGCACAACCACCAGGAACTGGCTTGCACCAGCACAATAAAATTGTTGATTTTTCTGGTCAGTGGATATTCAGTACAGCAGGCATGTACTTTTGCAAAGAACACAACCTTGGTGTTCAGATATTTTGGACTACAACCTCAGTAATCTATGATCCACACCGTGCTGATTGAGGAGGGCCCAGACTATTTGTCGTTTAGTTGCAGAGCTATGCCCGACCCATCACAACCCCATGGTCAACATTCCTCCAGGCTCTCCTGTCCTCCACCATCTCTCGGAGTCCACTTAAGCTCACACCCACTGCCCCAGTGACTCCATCTAGCCACCTCATCCTCTACCATTCCCTTCTCTTTTTGCTGTCAATCATTCCCAGCATTAGGGTCTTCTCCAATGAGTTGTTCCTTCTCATTAGGTGGCCAAAGTATTTGAGTTTCCCAGGCTGTTTACACCTGTGTAATGGATCATAACTTGGGTTGGGTCTCCTCTCTTGGCCCCCACAAGGCTCCTCATCCCTTCTGATTTTAATTTAATTCCTTATGATTAAAAAGAAAGAAACTGGGAGGGTGGCATGATGCAAAGCGAGGTGCTGTCCTTCAGTACATTTCTATTGCAGTTCAAAGAGTGGCTTTGTGTTCTGGAGTTTAGACTCCACCTCTGCCTTATACATTGCATAAGACTTTGCCTTAGAAGATTGACATGCACGAAAGCAAAGTTTAATAATGGTTCACCCTGCCATACGAGGACAGCATCACAGGCTTGCCACTGGTTGATGCTACAGCCATCGAGTGATGGATATGCATGTGTGACCCTGGAGTGGGTCTGCTCTAAGTCTTGGAGCAGTTCAGCTTAATGGAATGAGCTGCCAGGGCAGGCAGTCATGATCCCCTTCAATGGAAACACTCAGTAAACATGTGGACAGGCGTTTTGATACCGACAGTGATAGATACTGTGCTGTGGTGGGGCAGAGACCTGGGCTACATCCCTCTCAGCTCTGATTCTGTGTTTACTATGTTCCAAATTTGTGTTTGGTGCTGCTGCAGGTGGCCCAGGCAAATACTTCCCGCAACGGGATTGTGCCGCTTTGGAAGCAGAGTGGATTGCTGTTGGGGATGGGCTCGCCACTCCTGGGGCCAATGCCGACGTGAGTATCACCACTGCCGGGGCTTCGAGACACTTCAGATGTGGCCTGTACTTCTCTCATAATGGCTTTCATGTAATCATGAACATGCACTTTATGCAGGGCTTATAATATACATGGGGCTTTTGCTTTTGCCTAGAGGGACACTGACAGGTTAAGCATCCAATCCATTCTCAGATCCCAATTTCCATATTAATAGAACTGTAAACGGGGGAAATGAAATGCACTATTAAACAAAATGGATCTTCATTTCTTTTATGTTCGGCATTCTATTCGGTCTACTTTTAAAATGGGCCAGTTAATTCTTATTTGCATTCTGTAATTACTTTTCTGTCTTCAAGTTCTAAAAAAGAAAGAAAGAAAGAACATGATTTGCAATCATAGTGATATATTCATTTCCTTTTTAATCAAATGGATGTTCCCCATTGTCAGTTAAGCAACAATATTTTGGTAATATCCCTCATCAGATTTTCAAAAAACAAACAAAACCAGCCCCAGTTATGTTGCTGTATATAACCTGACAGTGTCTTGTATAGGTTCATGTATTAATATCATTTCTCAGTTTCTTATTGTCCTATCAGTTTGTCATCTACAATTCTGGGGGGTGGCGGGGGAGCACTAGGCTAGTTGCTAGAGAAGTGAGAGAGATGCTGGCTTACAGTTAAGGTGAGAGGGCTGGAAAAATTAGTGAATTACAGGTTGCGATCTTGCAAATGTTTATTTCCTTTGAGGGAGTGATTTGTATGTTGTGTGCCCAAATCAGTACCATTGAACCCCTGTCTACACTAAGCTAATATGGAGAACAGTGGCTTCCAGTTGGGATTTGCAGTAGCTGTCAGCCAAACTAGCAGATGACTGGAACTGTTTCCAGTTGTTGTGACCAGAGACCTGTCTAGGGGACAGCACCTCATAACGATCACCTTAGTGTACAAGGATGTCATTTCAGTTCTGGTAGGAGCTGCTGAAACAACGCCTTGCAAATGGATAAGCCTGATATCTTCTGTATGCACAGTCAGCATTAAATGTGGAATATTATCCTAAAGTTAATGTGCAACTGTGACTTTATAGGAGAAATATCTACTATAAAGTAGAAATATCTACTGTGCTATAGGATGGAAAGGGTCCTGCAGCTCTTCAATGGCTGCATTGAACACACTAATTATTAATTAGTTTTTGATTAATTAATTAACTAAAATTAATAGTTTTATTTCACTCCCTTGATGATTGTGTCTGGCTTCTGTGTGTGTGTTCCATGCTTTATAACTATAGCAACTTACCAGATATCGCTGGAGGAAAGGCACAGTCTTAAAAATAGCAATGGGCTTATTTTGTGAGGTCATACATTAAACAATTTTGTGAGTGTTTCAGCTAAGCTGCTCCTTTTATTGTTGACATTGCTCATCAGCAGTGTGTTTTCAGTCTTCATTCTCTTGTTGAGATTGGAGCTGTGCCCCACTGAAATTAATTGACGTTACAGGGTCTCGTAAATTTGCAGCCCAAGTTTTTCAAAGACAGTTCGTGACAGCAGAACCCTGTAGGCTGACAAAGGCCCTGTGGGTCCTCAAAAATATTCAGCCTGAAAGGGGAAGGTGGGGTCAGGTTAAGTAAAGCTGGCACACTAGAGCCATAACTAGGCACCGTGGCAATGTGGGGTCCATACACAATGAGTTGCTTCTTAAGCACACAAGCATTGCTTTTCTGGATCAGGCTAAAGGTCCATCTAGCCTTGGCGTGCTTCATTCCAACAGTGGCCAATCAGCCAGAAGATCCTGTGGGTCATAAGCAGGTCATCCTGGAGGGAGACACCACTCCCTGCTCTTTGTCTCTGATACCATGTACATTGAGACACATTATTTCTTGATAGCTTAGATCCTACGCTGTTGAAAATGAAGTTTGCACTGGCTGTTCTTCATGTCATGTACCTCAGAATATAATGTAAAGGGCAGTTGGAGGTCTGGGACCTGTAAACTCCTTGGACAGGTTGTTGCGGGAAGGTCAGTCCAAAGTTTCTCCAGACATCTATCACAGTGCCAGGTCAGGCTTAAGATCATTGTCACTTAAGGGGTGCCACTGCACCTGTTCCTAAGTAAATTTACCATTTTGCCCACAGATGGGCACATTAAGTTTTCCTTGAACTGGCTCATTTGCTTTTCTGTATCTTCATTGCCCTTTACTGTTCTTCTGCTGCCCATCCAACTGTAATTGAGGGGCTCTGGAGCAAACATTCTCCTTAATGACCCTTTTAGCAAACCTTTCTTGCTGCAAACATGAAGATGCATTAGTGTAGACCTTAGGCAGAATTTGGCAGAAACAAAATTCTGGAGATTAGAACAATATAGATTAAGGGAATTAATACTCAAAAGCAGATTTTAAAAGAAGTGTAAATCAGACTTTCAACTTTGCCTGATACTACAAAGACTCTGGATTCTGTTCACTGGAATACAGGAATCTGTTTGTATTTTGGTCTGTGGGTCCTGCTTGTTCAGTCTAGTTACTGATAGTTTCCTCCACAAACAAATGACAAGGTGTGATTTCTGGACTTCAGCTTCAATAAATACAAGGATGAATTGTCAGGATCTTCACCACCCACAATCCGAGAACAAATGATCAAAAAGTCAGTTGCAAGACCACAGCACTGCATCAGCTAGATTTCTGATCATTTCTTAATGAGTATTTATATCACACTTTATACTTGAATTTAATCTCTACGTACAGCTCAGGAGAAAAGCAACAATCATTTCAACAAATCACTTCTTCTCACAAAAGGACCTAGTAATAATAAGTGTCCTTATCTTTACCTAACTGACCTGCATTGGTTCAATTGTATGCATGCAACAGTGACTTACACTTCACTTGGGTTTTTTCTGTTCTGTTTTGGCCACTTCAACGAAAAACAATGAAATTTATTCTTCCTTCCAACAAAGCTGCCATAACCGCAAACGGTTTGCTATGTTTCAGAACTGTCACAATTTTAATTTTTTTACCAATCATATTAAAATCAGTGTACTCAAAGAAAGAATGCACAAATAATTACATCTCTCTATTTTGAGTATCTGGTTAATCATCCTGAACACAACTTTTTTCCTGTAGCAGAGAAGTTCACTAAAGCTTGCTTGTTTCTAGACAACCTTTATTTACCCTGAGCAGCTCTACACAAAGCCATTGCCCTTTGACTTTTTAACATTTTGTTGTGCTACAAAACTGGAAGTGAAATCAATTTAATTGGCATTGTTACCACTTGATGTACAGAAGACACTCAACACTGTAAAGGCACAAAATATTTTTACTGTGGCACAAAAGTCAACAAAAACAAACTAGCACTTGTTGATGCATAAAAATTGCCCCCCTTTTCTATGACTTAAATAGGCTATTGTACAACCTCCTCCTCTGAAAGTCACATACTGCAAATAACTGAATGACATCCAGCTGTGTGTGATTGAGTGCTGCATGATTTCAGATTCAGGACACCTGATTTGGGAAGGATGGTCCCAGAATTCATTAGAGCATGTATCTATGGTAAACAAATAGCATCATGAATACCAAGTTGCTCGCAAAACAACTTCAGGTTAAAGTTTTGCAGAAACACCAATCAGGGATGGGTTGTTTAAAAAAACCCAAACTATCATGTTCCCCAAGAATATGGCTCAATTGTCAGTCTGCCTAGAGAAGGCCATCCACCAGATCTCAGTGATCGGGTAAGGAGAAGCAACCGACAGTCCAGTGGTAACTCTAAAGGAGCTGAGAAATCTGCAGCTGAGATGGGAGACAATGATCACCTGGATATTCCTTAAGGTTGGGCTTTATGGAAGAGTGCTGAGAAGAAAGCCATCATTGAAACTAACCTATATCAAACCCTATTTGAAGTTTGCAAGACGGCATGTGGGTGACCCAGCAAACATGTTGAGAACATTCTCTGATCTCATGAGAGCAAAATGGCATGTTTAGGCCCTGCTGTATAATGCTGTGTGGCACGAAGCCAACCGCACCCCTTGCCTTGCAGATACAAACCCTCCAACATCAGAAGCAGCTTGCCTGTGTATACCAGCCGCTGCTATATGAGGAACACAACTGGAGGAAGCTATTGTACTCTTGTCTTACTTGTGGGTTTCTAATGGGCCAGCAGCATTGTGTGAACGGTGTGCTAGGTTAGCAGGACCCTTTGTACGGTCCCGTTCTTCTATTTCAGGGCCTATATTCAACCCTTCTCAGTCCTCAGCTCTGGCTACTTTTCCATAACACCTCACTACAGCAGTAACAAAAAGGAAATAAGAGTGTTATTTTCAACATGCATTTTGTCACACTCACCAAGAAGAACCAGCCTTTCTACGTATGGCTTTAGGAGCTGGAGCTTCCCATTCACAAGTGTATGGTCTTAGGATGCAGTCTTAGGATGCAGCATCTTCCTGCTAAGAAATTGAACATACCAGGTGCTATTTGAGTTTCAATGTGTCTGTATGAAATCTTCCATTGATTTTCAATGTGCTGATTGTATTTTGTAATATAATATGATTAAAAACAACAGCCTAAAATTAATAATGTGATATCAAGTATGGGCTGTAAAGAGACTGACTACCTTACTGCTTCTTTATCTCCCATATTCATATGAAATGGTAGCAACTGCCTGCCACCTACCTATGTCTCCCAGGGTTAGTTCCTATGTGCCTTTGTAGGACTATAACTATATAGTTACTATATAGAAAGATGTTTACTGATGCTGAATAGGTGTAGTTTGAATAGATTCCAATTATCCCTATTTGTCAAGGACCGTCTTTATTTTATGGTCACTCTGTTTTCAGTTCATGTCTATTTCATATGTCATAAGCATGTTCTGCCCTGCTTGCACATCAGTCTGCTCTTTTGAAAAAAGAATGCATCAAAATGAATGCACAATTTTACAACTTTGTATAAAATGCCACATGCATTTTTCCTAAAGTGCATGACTTAGTGTGCATTCCCCTCCAAATAAACATTTGTGAAGACATTTTTGAGCCAAACACTGAATC